ATGTATAATTAATATATAATAATAAGAGAGGAAAAAAACAAGGAAAAGCAACAAATTATGAAAAATACTATTTTTATTGGTACAAAGGAACTGAACAATGCTTCTGCAGAGCTGTTCTTAAAATTTCCTTTCTACTATTTTCTCAACCAATGCTTATATTATCATATATGAATTATGTAGCATGCCATTGTTTTGAAAAGTAATAATTACACAAAGCTAACATTTCAATACATTTTTCTTTTAAATATTTATATAGACCAGAATACTGTGCTACAGTTGAGGAACTATTTTTAATACTGGACACACAAACTGCACAAAGGAATAAAAACCCTGAAGAGTTTTTTTGGTTAAAAATTTGAAATTTCAAGTCAATAAAACTCTTAAAGAATTAGAAGTATATTGACTCAAAAGTGAACAATAAAAATAAAGAAATGATTAAACACTCTTCTGAAATACTCATGTGCACTTATAGAACTTTCCCTCTAAATGCATTTCAAGAAAATATAGGTTTAATATCTTACCTACGTATCAACTTGTAGCATTACAAAAAATAATAATATTCAGAGTAAAAGATTTTAATTATTAAATGGATTCAAATAAAAATTCTGATTTTGCTTTAACACGAATATAGATTTTACCTTTTCCATTGACCATTTGTCATGAGAGTGTTCTGCATATTTGTTAATGAAATATTCTAGCTTTTCAGGGATTGTAATGCTGAAAGTCAAGAGAAAAATAGCCATTATATCACACACACTAAAATGTGTTTATGTTTTGAAGAAAACTTCCAAATATATAATTAGTAGTGCATGCATCCATTCAAAGCATCTTACTGTGCTCTGTTTCCTCACATACAGTTTATCCAAGCCCCAGTTAAATCAAGGCAAAAATCTGTGTTATTTATTGGGCACTAAATGAGAACCACAGCTGTTGCAGGAATTTTACTTCTTTGACACTCACGCACACGGAAAAAATAAAAAACGATACCGAGCATTCATGCTTTTTGTCACATATTTCTATTACTAATGTTAATTTTCTTAGGATTAAAGATATAACTATTACCCATAGTTTCAGAAATATGGTGGTAATGCACATGTCCATTATAAACTGTGTTAACAGTCCTTTCTGAAATCCATCATCTCTTTTATATATTCCTATAAAAGTTATTATATGCTTGCAGCATTATGACTTATGACAACTCAAAAGTTATATGCTTAAGGCTTTATTTTCCAACACCCCCGTGAGTATTAAAATCCTTATTAAAATATTTTAAAAACCCAAATAAATACACTAGCCCTTCAACAAGTGTACAAAACAGTGCAAAAGCTAACATTTCTTAAGCAGTAAAGGAAAAGCAGTTATCTCTGTCAAACAAACACTAGAGACAGAATCTCTTGCAAAAATTATTTCTCAAATATCAGTATTATTATGCATCTGCATTCCTGAAAAGGGAATAACTGTTTCTTGATCACTTTTGAAATAGCAAAATCTTCCCTCTCAAGACAAAGAATTTTGGCAGCAAAGGTGTTACAGTGCCATCTACTGCAAAGTAGAAGAGTCTGGTTTTAAATCTTCAGTGATAGGGTGGGAAAAAGCAGAAACGTAAAACCCTATACACGCTTTCAAACAGTAAAAAGAACTGATGGCCATGCTGGATAAATACTTTCTGGTCTTTGTGTCTTGTTAGGCTCTTGCAAACGACTTAATGTCACACATAATGTCATAGTATTGTTAACTTTGATTTGTGTCTTGGTAACTTTGACTTGTGTCTCGGTAGTTTTGAATCCCCGTTCAAATGATCATGCTGTACAGTAATAGTTAACTTTGTCATCAAATTCTGTAAAGTCACACTTTTACAACACCATATTGAAATCACTTTTTCTAATACCTTCAACAGTGGTTCTTTAAGTGATCTAAATCACCCATTCACAACAGCATACAAGCACAAGCATGTTGTAACAAAGGTATCAATCTACTGACAACATTCTGTGTTCTGAATGTTAATACAGACAGAAAGCTCACAAAGGCAATTGAAGCAAATGTCTTACAAGTGGCATTTGTCGAGACACAGTGCATAACCACCCTGCCGTAACATGGTTCTATACAAAGGAGAAGAGGCACTGGCTGTAGTCAAAAATCAGGGCATAAAAATCCCATTCAGATATGTGTATTTTCTGGCTAACATACTTTAAAGAACATGGTCAGAATCTGTATGCCTAGAGAGAATGAAGATCTTTCTGCCCAGTTCCCCATTATTCATGGTTAAAAGAGATTATATGAATGCATGATCATCATCATTTTTTGTAGGTACACTGTCATCTACACATACTGGAATTAGTGTCTTGGCACATGTTAATAATGACAGGGATGATGTAGACTAGTCTATTTTTTCTGCTCCTGAAAACATGCTGGTTTGTTTGCAGCAGACATATAAAGGTAACTGGATAGTTATATCTTCAAGCTGAAAATGCATTAAAATATTCTAGGTCAATCAAGAAAATAGTTATGGATATTTATTGCTTTCTATGATTTAAAATAAATATACAAATTAAAAAAAAATGAAGTTAAGGTCTCTATTTTACCTAGAAGATAAGATCTCAGAAGAGAATAAAAGCTGTAAGTTTACATCATACCCATCAACAGACTCTATCCCTCTTTTACACATTCATGACCAAAAAAAAAAATAGTTGCAACAAAATAATTCCTTACTTTGATGTATCAACAGGTTGAGGATTAAAGTTCCCATCTGAATCCATTGAAGACTGTTTTTCCATCATATTGACATAATTTGATTCCATATAGTCTGGAGGTAAGGCCCCTGCAACTGCACTCAAACAAGGCAAAGCTAATTTAAACAGTTCTTGTTCATACTTCTGTGGAACACAAAGGGGATAGAAAGTGAGCAGAGAATGGAAGCTATCAACATCACTCCTGAAACTGATATTGCTCTATGTGAAACCAAGCAGCCACAGAATGGATTTCTTATTCTGTGTGAAATTGAATTTTTGTTCTGAAAACAAAGGAAACTGACTGTCCAAAGCATATTATAGACTATAGAGAAAGCTAGGATCAAATCTTGCTTCACTAGGAGCAACACTGGGCATTTTTCAGATGTCTGGGAGGACAACATAGCACAGAAATATGCACAGTGTTTCTAAATACTGAGATTTGAAATGAAACTCACGAAATTTTAAGCAGGTTGGTTAAACATACTCACAGAACAAACAATAAGTACACACCAAGGCGTATTATTTAACTTTTGTCCAACGTAGAATTGAGTCAAGGGTGATGAAACTACAACTACGAAGCAAAGAACTATGCTCTTGATTTAAGGAAGGATAGGGTGTGAGGTAGAAAAGTGCAGCTTCCAGTCACCTGCAGATGCTTGAATCTGCTTTTAGGGCTCTGAAGTGTAGTTGACCCATATAGATACACTTCAAGATTGCTTCATTAGCTATATAATTTTTTTAAATGAGCAGACAAAGTGGTATACCCACGTTAAAGCAGAAGCTCTAAGAGGAAGATTTACATTTACCAAAGCCTCTATTTTTCCCTTTAAAGTGGACAATAAAGTGTTGGTAAAAGCTGCGTAAAAATTACAGATTAAATAAACAAGGTTACACACTAAGGCTTTTACAGTAGTAGATGGATATTAAAACAAATTACCTTTTGAGACAAAGCATCAAAAATACCCCAGAACAACTTTCTGGATAAATGAAGTTCTTCTTCTGAAGCAGCACCAAAGTTACCCCATCCACCTGGCAAGCAATAGTACTTCCAACATCTTTCATAATGATTTGTCAGCAACTAAAACAGAGCATATTTTGAAAGCAAATAAAATATGTTGATGTTCTTCCATCTTGTCACTCAACCATTACACAGACAATGCCAGAAAAATTTCTAACTTTTATCAGGAAGTCATGTCGTGTATCTATTCTTTAAATCATTGGTGGATACACACAGAGAATGAGCAGTTCTTTCTTCTCACATTAGAGCCATATGCAAAAAGCATGTGACAGAGAATAATTTTCCCCAGTACCACAAGAACTCTGACAGCTCAGCTGAAGACAAGAATTCACTTCCATCTGTGCGCCACTATTCCAAACACTGCTGCTTTGGCAGGTAAGATAGTAAAACCACAATTTCACCTAGTTCACGATTATTATTTATATGTCTGAGAGATATTCAACAACAACTCCCAGTGTGACTCACTCTTCTGTGAGCTGTAAAACACGCTATCCCTCTACCCTTCTGTCCTCTATTACAACTGGCAGAGGAGCTTTATCCTCTCTCCCTCTCTTTCATTAAAAGCATATTTCAGAAATACTTTCTTCTTAAGTGGTTACAAGATTCCAGATTATCAAGGACTCAAATGGTGCAAGGAACTGCTACTGGGTATTTGCCAAAGTGCAACATTACAAATTTTATTCTTAATGTGTCCTCTATGTCCCTGAGTCACAGACATGAAGAGGAAAAATTAGTTGTACATCTGTCAGTAACGGCAGTCCCCAACATCAAATTTCTGGCAATAGCAAAGCATGAAAAGCTAGAGCTACTCAGGGGCAGTTTTCCTAAAGCACAGAATGATCTTACTAAAAAATTTAGCTGGAATTTCAATTCAGCATTTTTAACAGTTCCTCAGAGAAAAAGAGAACTATTTCAACATCACTTCGCAAAGCATGTTGGCAAAATATTACAGTCACAGTCAGTGACTTTCTAGTCAGAACAAATGCCAAGATGGAAAAATGCAGATACTCATAATGTTAATGAGCAGAAAATAAGACAGGCATTTAAAAAAAAAGTCCTGATGTGTAGAAGTCTTACTCTAGTAGAAGTCCCTGATGCAGCACTGAATATGATTTAGGAGGAAATAAAAACAAGGCAGCCCTATTCCAGAAAGTTCACACCTGATTACACAGGAAAAGCATCACAGATTGGAATTCACATGCAGCCTAAATGGAGGTAATTTTTAATTGTAGAAAATCAGCAAAGGTATTCACCGTAGCTAGCCTTCATGATTTCCTCCTCTCTTCTCATTCAACATTAAATTTACAGATGAATTATTAACTTGTAGCTGTCTCTTTACACTACTATAACCTGTTTGCTAGCACAAGCCCATAAGGAATATGCATGGTACTTTCAAAGTAGAAACACATCAGTACATAGTAGGAGTCCCTTGTTAAATGACTGAAAAACAGTTTATTGTCAGTGAGACCTTTGAGAAGTTCTAGTTCTATCTTCAGATAAAGAGTTCACTTTCCTCAGAAGCTCCTATTACTTGGTTAAGTGTCAATGGACAAAATCATTTGCCCGTGCAAAACAAATCATTTGCCTTGGCTGAAAACAAAATGAAAGATTATTAAAAATATGTGTTGCTTAGATTTCCAAACACTAAGCACAAAAAAAGAGTCTGTTTTCCAAGAGCAGAGAAAACCAGCAAGTAAGGGTACATACAGCCTACTAATTCCTATCTTCCTTTGTGCACCGGATTCTGCCCCCCGCCCCCAAGGGTTTTTCTATCCTCTTTCTATATGGGCTTAAAAAACCCTGGAGATAATTAAAGGAGAAGCAAACATTAGATGTGGACTTCATAATTCCATATAGATGGATGTAAATTAGACTGAATTCCTACCAAAGTAGCAACTTATCTGTAAGAACTACAGTCTTAAGATTATTTCAGAGTGGAGATAAGGTAACAAAGAACATAAAGAATATTCTCCATATAAGTATTTTCTGTTGCATTTTATTACAAGGAATACTGTTGAATATTAAAATATACTTTTACCTTGAGAGGCATCTTTGCATGTTCATTTAATAGAGGAACATCAAATACTAATCTTCTCAGCAAATGCTGCATCATGGAAGGCCGCAACTGCCTAAGAGCAGACAAAACATTTCAAAAGGGTATACTAACACAGTTTCATGTAAATAATTAATAAACACATTAAAGCAACCTGTCAGTTTTATGCCATTAAAATTCTTCAAATTCATAAACTAATAGGATTTTGCTTGGGACACTAAAAAAATGTGTCCAAGAGAAAGCAAACAAGTACATACCAAAGAAAACCTCCCGAACAAGCTGCAAATCAAGTGCTTTAAAGAAGCACAGAAAATATCTGATCTATAGACATAGAAAATCAGGAAAAAAACCAACTGAATTTTGATATTGTGTATTATGATCACCATGCCCATAAGAAAAGGCCAGAATTTTATTTTCTTGTAATAGATCTCAATGGCTCTTACAAATATTCTAGAAAATAATAAAGACATAACAGCATTAACTCTTCAGATGTCCTAAGCAAGACACACACCAGTGCGCACCAATTGGAAGGACAGAAGAAATAGGTATAGCATGGATGTTAGAATGACATGGACATTAAACCTTTCCAGATAAATAGCAAACACTGGTCCATTTTATCAGTTCTTATCAAGGTAATATATACATAAAATGGTCCACGCGATATATTTTATAAAGAAATGTTATACAGTACTTTTTTACAGTACTGTAATACAAATGTCTGTCATTTCTGAACACATTTCCATATTATGCAAAAAAAATTATGGTGAAATACTAAAAAAAACTTCTGGTGATCTGAAAGCCTAAATGTTGCTAACTCTAATTAGAAATTGAATTCTCAAGTGCCTAGTCAACTTCTGATAACTGAGCCTGTAGGCTTATAAAGAAACAGATAATCAACTGGTTTTGAGATTCCAGATACCCAGACAAAATTTGTCCTGCAGTTGCCAATAATGACATATCACAATACTAGTCATTGATTAGGATGTCAAATGTAACACAACATAAACATCTCCATAGAACTGTATAATCTACTGATCATCAACCATACTGCCAACCTGTACAGTAAACATTTAAAATTATTTAGTTGTAATTTAAAGTATTACATCTAAAAGTATTTAAATGGCATTTCAATGGATGCACAATTCCATATTTCCAGAGCTTCAACTTTTTGCAGTACGTCCTCTTAGTTAATCGCCAAGCTTTTAATTTAAAAAACTTGGTAACAGCAAAATAACTGAGAATGCCTATGAGCAATTAATAAAGTTGCAAAATTAATACAGTGTATTAAAAAATATCACAATAATCTACCAGAAAAAAAAAATCTTAATTATGCTGCTGGTGGCATAGTTCTGCATTCCCTTATTATAAGTATCATAGGTTACTTTATCAATTAGCATTCCTGTACAGCCAGGAGTATTTTCTTACCCACAGATAGACAGCAAACACTCTTCAATAGAATCGCGTTGAGCTTTGGTAAGAGAGCATCCCTTTGAGAGTCTGTACACTGTATGTAATAAGGAATCGATGAGGGAAGCATGGTGCTCTGTGCCAGCAAAAAGAGGAGCACATCTGGTCAACAGAGGCAAGACTGCTGTGCAAAGGTATCGATTCAGAGCCAAAGCCATATCCGTAGCACTTAAAGCAGCCTATGAATTAAATGGGACAGAAATCAGATTTGTCTCCTCAATGTTGTTACAAATAAAAATAACTTGTTGCTTGTTTTACTTTTGTAGTAGTTATAAAAAGGCAAATTTACAAAACGCACCAATGAGGATTTGATGCCTACTGGAAACTTCTTTTCCTTCTTCCAAAGTCTCACAAGATGGCTTTTGTTTTGTTTTGTTTTGTTGTAAACGGACAAAACCATAAATACTAAAGCTATTCAAAGAAAAAAAAATTTCAAAACTATATTAAAGAGTGTCGTAGTTGCTTAACAGAACACTCCACAGTCAGGTAATACCAGGCAAGTCTGCATTTACAAAACACAGTATGTTTCTGTGTTATGATCAAGCCCAAGTTCCAAGTGAGGAAAAAATCCTCACCTGCTCTTTCCTAAATAACAACATAATGATTTTCAGAAAAAAAATTTACATGAAATGTCAAATAGCAAAATCAAAGTGTGTCTTAGCCCTCATGTAAACTCTCTAAATCTGATCTTCCTGGACCAACCTAGCTAAGAAACATTAGATGGAAATAAGACTCACAGAAATGGCAGCAATTCTGAGGAGGAACTGAAACAAAAATTTAGTGATTTCCTAAATAACAATGTAGGCGTCCCTAACAAATGTATGGAGATAAACACTTTCTGTAAATCTCTGGAAAGAGGCTCTCAGTTACATGCTTCACGGGCAGCCTATTCAATTTTGATTTTATAGAACAAGCTCAAAAAGTCTCCTGGGGAAAGGCATTATGTCTCTTATGGGTATGGGTATTAATGGGGGTTCTTTATAAAGTGAGCATCATTCTGGAGAATGCTCCTTCACTGTTCTTAGAGTATTCTCAGTAGCAAGAGGCACTTCATCCAGCATTTGAGAAATGGAGAAGATAACATGAAGAAACATACGTATATATATATATATATACACACACACATATATATATTTAGGGATGAAAAATGCTGCAGTGTTCAGTAAGATATCAATCAAAATAACAACAGACTTAAACCCTTACTGTATCTAAAGAGGCAGCAGCACGAAGATCTGGCAGAAAGCCAACTTCAAGAAGGTGTAGAAGAAAATCCTGGTCCTCAATTCCATAGACCCTGTCAAGGAATAAAACCATGGCTGCCTTGTGATCTGGGCAAAACCCCGCAGACATGTCAGGTTCCACCACAGTACCATCTAAAAGGAAGAAATAAGACTTCAATGACAAGGATCATCCTCCACCAGCAGACTAGGCAGTGCTACTACTTGTCAGAGGTTTTGAGTTTCTGTTAATATCTAAGCATCTTCCCCATGGTTTTGTTACACAAAGGCAACATATTTGTAGTTAACTGAAAAAGAATACATAAGGCAAATTGTACCCAGATAGACCTCAAAGTCCATACATACTTTTCTGTTCATGCTTTGTGTATTAAGGGCTTATCTGTTGATATTCTAATATGATAGTACCCAAACCATCTACATCAAACATCCCAGTAATGCAGCACTAATGAGCACATCTGTAATGTATGACAATGAATTAAGGTTGTGCTGAAAAGTCCTCTGTATCTGAAAACATCTGAAATATCTGAAAGGAAGGTATTAAAATATTTCTAAATTTTGATAATTTCAAAATTTTCAAAACCACATAAAAATGCTGTATCTATGAGCTGTATCTATGAGTTGTACTCTATGCTTCTGAGGCATCTATAGATATATAGTTCTATATATATCCGTACACATATAGATATCTCACATGTATCTCTAGATATATATTGATAACTATACATCTATCACTATTTAGAATTAAATAAAGTTGTAATAGAATTATTGATCTTTTTATCTCTTCTACTGTAATCTATCAGGCACTATTGCACAGTAACTGCCTAGACACTCCATGTTGCAATTATAATGTTCTCCCTCCAGATTCCCAAAGCAGCAGATGTAACTCCTTTTCTTTTTATATTGATGCTCACATCGCTCCCACTATTGCAATCAATTCTATGTAGGCAGAAAACACAAAGAAATGTATTTGCATATTATGTCACACCTATAACTTCACCATAGCTGCTGAGGAACAACTCTGGTGTCTTAGTAAAATCTGCTAGAAACTATTGTAGGGTTAGAACAGCAAAAGCTAAGGATTATGTTATGAAATGAGACACTAATTTCTTAAAGTATTTTAGAAAAATAAAAAGCATACATTTTAAAATTTCTTTTTAAAGTTTGTGTTTTAATTTAAATGAGTGGGACTTACATCAGTGATTTAACTGTACACAGATTTATTGCCTATAGCATACACAAAAATTTTTGAAATGTGTTTGAAATACACATCATTTCTCTTCTAATTCATATAATAAATAGTTCAATTCTATAACATTTTAAAATACTGCGAGAAGTATAAGTATCTGTATGTGGTAAAATTACAAAACTTAAGAATGGTGTGGGAGAAAAAAAAAGAATAATCATCTTACCTTTAGCTATGGTTGGCATGTGGAAGGGAATACTAATTACTCCCACTAAATCTTCAAGTGGAATCAAAGACCGTAGAATTGATCTGATTCTAATGGCTTCTCCTTTACCAGCATGGATTAGCTAAGGAAAAGACAAATAAAATATTAACAAGGTCTTCTTTTTATCTTGTATATGTGTTCAAGTTCTGGAAACTTCCTGAACCATAGATACACAAGAAAAAACTGCTCTCAAAATTGCATTATAATTGATAATGTAAATTTCATGCAATTTGTATTAATTTGCTGCATTTTGGATACAAATATGCAGAGTCTAGAAATCTAGATGTTTGGTTATTAAATAAGACTAAGCTCATTTTCAGAATGGAATGTTAGGTAAAAGAGGTGAACAAACCATCAAAACTTAGCACATGGCAAAGGGTGGGGGGGAAGGAGGAGCAGATTTTCAGATGAAAAAAGCTAATTTTTCTGTCCTGGTCAAATAACAACACTTTAAGTTATCCCAGTTGTTTTGCTTTTGTTTTAAAACAGGGAGAAAGCAAGACAAATTTTTTTTATTCAAACAAAACAGACATTCATACACTGACCTTATTATATGGATATCTCTATCCTTTAAGTTATCAGTCTCTGCACGAATCTGATACTGATCTGTACTGACCTATATGAATTATGGCACACTTCAGGGTGAAACGAGAAACTATGCATAACTAAGTAGAATTTCTGAAGAACAGGAAGGTATTTCGAATCATAAACATACTTTCAAATAGTTTCAAGCTCTTAGGAACTAAGTGGTAAGGGCTTGTTTTTTATAGTATGAGTGTCTAATACTTTGCATCTGATGCCTGAAATGGTGATATCTTACCTTTGAGAAGGTTTGTCAGTGTTAATAAAGATTATGAGATACCATGTGTATGTCCAGGGACAATAATTATTCCTAAGTTTTAAAAGAATGCCCTATAACATTTACACTGTTATATGCAATTTAAACAGTCTGTTTAAATAAGTATATAAAGACAAACCACGGTTAAAAAAAAAGAAAAATCACTCTACACCATCACAATAAATAGGGAAATTTGAGGAGTCTGATCATCACAAAGGACAATCAAACAATATTCATGACAGAATGCTGTTGAAGACCAGCCATAGGGAACAGTAATAAGAAAAGCAATGGACTAATTTCTTTAAAAACAATAGTTTCTGCAAACTTCACAGAAATTCCTTGCAAATTAGCAGATGAACATATTATGTACATTAAGACAGTAAGATGTACATTAAGATAGTGGTAGCTATACCACTGCTTTAATACTTGATAACATGCTACTGTGGAAAAGCCAAACAGCAAACCATCAATCAGTAAAACAGCTACACCTTTACCTTCCAGTGCATGAAGACATAAAACTTACATGCATTTCAGGGGCACAACGTCCTAAGAGATCAATTAAAGCAGCATAAAAGGTCATGATTGCATTTCCCATGTGAATAGTGTCATCTTCTTGTTCTTCCATTTCACTGTAATTAGTTAAATGTTAGAATAATTAAAAGATGAAAAAATACAATAAAGTTTTTTACATCAGCAATAAATAAAGGAAACCTGCTTATAGGTGTAACCACTTACACACAGAGGTTTTCTGTTAACTCCTGGACTTTTAGCAGACTAACACAGAATGGAATTTGTCCCTAAAAGACTGTAGCGACATCTGAATTGTTACCATTTGTCTGTCTCATTTTGTATCAGGGGATTGATTCTTAACTGACTGACAAAGTACAAACAGAATTCTAAAGAGGATTTAATATGTAGAAAGAGTTACTTAAATTAACAGTGCAGAGGAAGCTCTATCTGACAGAAGACAAATCTCTGCCCTCCACAGGATCCAAGGAAGAATCCAACTGTTAGTTCACATGGTAAAACAAGCAAGCCATTTCCTGACTAAGATTATAAAACAAATAAACAAAAATTATGGCAAGCAACTCCACTGCACCTACAGGGTTTTACTAGATCCATTACTTGGGGAAGGTCCATCTCTTGTTGGATCTTCTGATATTTGTATTGCTTCCTCCATGGTAGCAAGTAACCCATTGCCTCCTTCTCCTCTTAAAGCTGGACCAAAACATTCAGGTCGACGGATAAGCAGTCTGACTACAACATTAGCATTCTCCTCCACACTCTCTCCTACCACATAGAACAAATATCAAGATTTAAGATGATATCAAAAAGACTTCTAAAATATAATCAGAAAAAGGTACACAGAAGTGCAGAATGTATGCATCTGTAGATACTTGTAACTGCAAAACATGAAAAAGTTACATAAACACACAAACATACTCCTCTATTATTGTACTAAAAGCTATTTAATAAAACACAAGATTTAATTCAAAATTAAATTGAGCCAAAGAAGTAACTGGGTAATAAAGGATGTTTAAAGCATCACTGAAGCTACTGATTTGTAGTAAAGACTCACGGTCACATGCGAGAGTTAATGAGGGAACCAATACAGCTGCTAAACACTAGAACTGGAAAATCTAAATCTTCATCAAAAGATGGGGGGTTACCTATCTATGTGTGGCATGAGTTTCATGATAAAAAGATTTAGGACACTCCGCTCTACTTCCAAAGGACATGGGGCATTTCAAAGACTAAAGATGGATTTTAAAGTGGTGTATAAGCTGTTAGGACCCTATATGACTTGTGAAATTGGCATCTGAGTTACTGTATGTCTTGCATAATTCTACTCTTTCTGCAAATTGTCCTTCAAATCTATGGTAACTTATCAAGTTGGCCTGTATTACTATTTTAAATTACAAACTTATGTGAACATTAGAGGATGTTCTACATTTATAGTGTTGAGGAAGTTATAAATTTATAAGCTTGTACTCTACCATTGCAAAATACAGCAAACCGAAGAAAATCCAAATATCGCTCTCCTTCAACTGGATTCCATCCGATGTCTGGGTAGCCTTTAGAAATCAGCAAAGGACAACTCTGCAATCCACATCCAGCTAAGTAGCGAACCACCTAAAATCAAGGTCAGATGAAAAAGATAATTGTGAAAAAGAAGAGAAGTGAAGTTTCAAAAGGAAAGCATCCTCATGCGCGGTCTTGGATACGGTGTCCACATTCAATTATCCCCAATAAAACCATATCATATTCTGGACAAATGAGAAGAGCAGCCTCTTCCTTAGTTCACTTCCCCAGTCTTTTCCTACTTCTGTGATGAACTGCAAGACCTTACTTATCTCAGTTTCATTTTTCCTCTCTCTAAATCACTGCTTTGCTATTTGTCTTATTTCTCTTGCAACCATGAGCATTACAAATTAGTCAATCTTCTAATATTGCCCAACTACACACTATCCATATTTGAAAACACGTCTTCTAATATAACTCGCAGGTCTACTCTTTAATTTTAACCTTTCCTTTTCACTTGCCTTTTTTCTTCCTTCCTTTTCAAACACACAGCAGTAACACTCCCTGTAATTCACACCTATAGTCTCTGGAGTAGTTTTCAGCTGGCCCTCTCCTTCTGAATTGTAAGAATGTAAGCACAGCCTTTAACCAGTTCAGACACCTTATTTTTTGCCAACCATTTGTAAGAATGATAAGTCCTTTTAAACACACATGGTCCACCTTCCTGTTCCAAGAAAGGATCATCTACAGGTATATCACTTCTGACAGATGCTTTCGTACGAAGGTTACAGCATCTCCAGAACTGAAGTCTTCAAGAACAAATTGGACAATGTATTCCACCCTCTTACTTTCCTTTAGCAAGTGTTTTTCAATGTCTGTCTTGAATCTGTCTTTCCATTATTTAAGCCACTTTTCTTATCCACCACTGACATAGCAACCATTATTCTATACCTTCTTGCAGCTGCAATTTACATGTTCTACACAATTGTCACATGATCTCTTGAGTTTTTTATTCTTTACTCTAATTAATCCCAACTCCTTCAATCTTTTCTGAAGTAGGTTTAAATGTTTGGGGAAAAAAATATGGATAGATATGGATAGATATCCCTATGAAAATTTGTCATATATTGTAACAAGTTGTCACAAGGCTTCTAGTAGTCCCTGTTGCATCATGCCACCACTGCATGTCACCATAAAGGCAGAACAACAACTCCTTCAGTCTTTTCTGAAGCAGGTTTAAATGTTTGGGGAAAAAAAATATGGATAGATATGGATAGATATCCCTATGAAAATTTGTCATATATTGTAACAAGTTGTCACAAGGCTTCTAGTAGTCCCTGTTGCATCATGCCACCACTGCATGTCACCATAAAGGCAGAACAACAAAGAAAGACCTTAGCAATGAAATTTTGTTCGGTATGGACTCTGTTATTCTCAGTAAGAGCTGCCCTTGAGGCAATTCCTTTTGGTTACACCTATGCAAGTAATGACTGTAAACTCAGTTCAACCAGACCACCAGCAGATAGAACAAAAAAATCAAATCCTGATAGTCTTCCTCTGAAAGGTACCTAAAACTCCCATACAATTCTTATTATCTTAGATGTTTATTACTCCAGGTAACAGGAATCTTCCCCTCTCTACAGGGAAAAAACCTGCTTGATAAAGAATCTACCAACCTTCTCCAGATCAGGCTCCCTTAAAGCTAGTGCAAGTTCATTGTTATCCATCACAGAGGCTGCTGCAACATCTAAAGGAGTTGATCCTCGCATAGATGGAGAGGCTGTTAAAATAACATTTACTTTCAACACCAACTTAATAATGATGATCAGTAGATTATACCACTCAATTGATAATAAATCACCATGCATTCATATGAAATTTAACATTGATATGAAATCAAAATACAATGTAGATGTTCAAGTTAGAAAGAACTTTTCTTACACATTCCTATTCTCGTCACGTACTTTGTTTTAAGATCTCATTCCTTCTGTTTTTCCTAACTGACACAACTTCTTTTGAGGAAAAGGTAGTGAGGATTTTATATCTAAAACATTGACAATTTATCAAATGTATTGAAATAGAAAAGATCTTTAAGCTTTAAAATATAAGATTATATGTTATCTATTTCTTTAAAAAATGGCAGTCATCATAGCATTAGAAAAAGCTATGTTTTTCAATGCATTTAATTTGGGCACTTTTCTCCAAAAATATTTTTGTTTACACTTCCATCCTGTACACATACATTAATAAGGAATTTGTGATCATTTAAAAAAAGACTATGATGATTCTAAGTAATCATATACTGTCAATTACAAGTACCAAATTAAATAAAGGATAAATGTATCTCCTCTATAACACTTCAGCCTAGAAAAGAAAGGTTAACATTTTAAAAAAACTTCAAGGTTCATTTCTGGGCATCTACACATGCATAACCAAGCATATGAACTCCGTATTTCTCCCACCGACACAGATGTTGGAGTATGTGCATGCATGTGTATACTGAACAGTTTACAGAAGAAAGTGCAGGGGAGCAAGCTGGAGCAGGGAGAAGTAAGCCCTGATGAAATGCTGCCAACAATTATTTACTATTCTCTTCATCAAAATCAGGATTTTATTCTGTTCCTCAAAATGTACAACTAAACACTGTCTCTCTCTTACTGTCCACGCACATACAAAAAAGCATACACGCAGAAAAACACATAAGTGGTTATATATATAAAAATCAGCAGAAAGTTTTAAGATATGGGTTTTGGTTTAGAATCTCAAAAGCCACACACCTAGTACTTACCAAGGCCAACACTGCTATTTTCCAATAAATAGCTAAGATGATCAAACATAGCTTTTTGATTCTGCCTGCTGATGCGGCAAAAATAACATAGAAAACGACAGCAGTTTGCCACCATCTTTGGGAAAGTGATTTCCTAAGAAGCAAATCAAAACAGACTGAAGTTCAAACTCTAACACAGGAATAAAACTTGCAAAAGATTATTTATATAACAGCCTTTGAAAACACTGCATTGTATTCATTGAACCTCAGTGAAATTAACTGTTAGTTTCACTAAGTTAGGTTTCACCCTGGAATCAACAGGGCTTTCTCAGCAAGTAAATAACTCCTTAAGCCCCAAAGATCAAGGTATAAGCTTGAAAAACAAGACCCAGGTTCACCCATAAATTCTCGATTCAAACAAGAAAGAATGCGAATGCTCAGATTCACAGAGCAATACTGCATTGATTTTTAATTAGTTTCCAAAAAGATCTAATTGGGTCAAACCATGACACCTTTAAAACCCAGTAGGCATATAAAGTGCTATTTGCAGTTTTTTTCTTTAAAGCATCTGAAAATTACATTGTTAATTATGTCTTCCTCCAGAACAGAAGGAGAGATTATTCTAAAAACTTGGTCAACTATTGTGTTAATGGAAACTAGAAGGAGGCCATGGTCTTAGTACCTCCAGTGACTGCTCAGCACCTTAAAGGATAAAGCTTTAAAAAGATATATTCTAAATTCTCTGTCTTCTAACAGTGAATTGCTTTACCTTGGATTCTCCTCCACCAAGCACATTTACCATCACTTCCATTACAGTTTCATGCATGCCTAAAGCTCTCATGAGATTTGGATGTTGGTAAAATACTTTATTATTCATGATGTCTCTACAGGAAAACAAAATTTAAAAAACTGATTAAAAATTTGACTTACAGTAATGCCCAGAAAGACCAGCTGATCTTTTTTCCCCCCAAAGGCTACAACTGGACTTTGTATTAGAGATGATAGAGGATAAACCCTGCCTCCAAAAGCTACCCATGCCACATTTCCTTTCTGCACTAATGCTTCATGCTGTGGAAAAAGACCTCGATGATATCAATCTGTCAAGTCATTCTAAACTTTTATTTGTCTACAGCAGTTTTCTTTTAGAGAAATACAGTACAGAAAGTCAAAACATCATCTCAGGAGCTGCCAGCAATATTCCTCTACTTTGGAAGTACATCCTCTTTCAGTGTTCTTTTTAGCTGTATACTGCATTATGAAATGTGGCACTTAAAAAAAAATCTTAACAGCTTTTCTGAGGAAAGTGAGTTTTCAAGCAGGAATTCAATTTCTCAGCTGGAAGAAAGGAATATGTTCCACTTGCAGCAAAAAACTTGGTATTTCTAAACAGGTGCTGGAGCCCAGGTTAGGCTATAAAAGGTACAAATGGCATAGCTGGGTAACCTACAAGGTAAACAAGACTAAGATAGAAGTTACCAAGAAGGGTGATAGGAACAGGCAGTGAGAACACTAGGTTGACAAAGTACTCTTTCTTCCTTACACCAGACTTTCACATATCACCAAAAACATTAAAATTAAATCAGATTCACAAAATCCTAGTTTTTTATTCATAATAGGAAATGTCAAGGAAAAAAATGTAAAAGAACAAAAAGAAAGTAGAACATGAAAAGAAAACCCTTCTGAGATTGTTTTTTTTCCCAGGCACAACAATGCCAGAATCTAGTAATCACTCACTCATTTTAGACTTGGTTAGCTTAAGTGAAATGTAACAAATCAAATTTGAAGGACAAAGGTCGATTTAGAAATACCAGTATTTTGTGTCTCTTGACAGCTGACGGACTTTCCCCTTTGACAAAGCCTTAGCATGAATACACTGAACATTGCAACAACCAGGGAACATTGATGGGACCTGCTGGCAAGCTAAGAAATAGGCATTGTTCATAATTATATTACCAAAATATGTATATACATTATCTGGATATTTGAGGTTTCCAGTAAGCTCACAAAAAAAAAAAAAAAAAAAAGTATTTTGCACAACAAAATCTTATCTTCTCCTTGCATTCCTGGCATTCTTTATATATCTTTGGTTGTCATTGCTCTTGCTGACTGGGGATTTCTAATAGATCACAGCTGATGTTAAATCTCACAAGACATCTCTCAGATGGTAATATTTATTTGAAAAAAAAAGAGAAAAAAAAATCTCTTTGCTAGTAGAGATGATCACGTTTTCTGTACTGTTTTCTCAATTGTACTGTTTATTAGGCTTTACTTCACTAGTATTAATCACATAATTAGGATGAACTACTTCATAGTTCAAATAGTACCAATATATTCAGCGCAATAAAAAGATGTCCTAAGCATAGACACATGTAGACACAACTCCACTAGCTGACTGCTGGAAGGAATTGTACGTGCCAACAGCTACCAGTCACTGCATTTTTTATGGACAGTATACTTGATAGGATTCTTCACAGCCACACTATTTAAAATATGGTAACAAGATATATTTTGTAGTAGCATAAAACATTACATACATGTTTTCAACTTTTCTCACAAGAAGTGTTACAGATGTCATTTGTTTCTCTCCAAAATTAATGCATATAATGTTGCAAAGGCTGTATTTTACAAGTGAAGATACTACACAACTGACACCAGTGTCTACATTTACACCCATATTTAGACTATTAACATTCAAACTTCATGTATAACCTTGGCCATAACCATACAGCAAATAACAAAAAATATTTGTAAATAAAGAGATGTTACACTCCACTTATTTACCCTAATCCACGAATCATAAGTTTCTCTTCCTCCTTCCCCATTCTGACACTAAGCAAGGAACGGATTTGGCCGAGGGATGCCAGAAGATTGATTGTGTCTTCCACAGACACACTATTTATGGTGTAGGTCTTTGGTAGGGCTCGAACCAGGCCACCAATACCATCATATTGGCGATGTAGCAATACAAACATGGCCCTCACTAATTCCGGGTCTTCTATCACTGATTCCTGAGCCCAGCGTACCATCGTGTCTGAAATCAAATGCTGAAGAGTAGCTGTGAAGAAAATACACAAACCACAAAAATTACCACAAACTGCTCATCTCTCTGCTGGTAGTCCCCCAGAACCCACCATGCAACATGAATTTGAATTAATTCAATATCTAAGAAGCACTATCAAATCACATAAGAGAAGCAGAAACATCTCAAAACCAAAACTATACGTATAAAATTAAAATACAGAAATTAAATCTGATAACACAAAAAAATCATGAAGACATACATGTTTCTCTCAAAGTCACCAGATCTATTTCTACATATTGCTTTCAAGATTTTTCCAGGAAATCAGGTGTGAAGATTTTTCTCAAAAATTATGAAGTAAGACTGGAAAAAAATATACTGGTAGCACACGTAAATGCTGTATTATTTATTTACACGTCTAAGTTCTGTATCCAATCAAAATTTTATAATGTACAAACCAGAATAATAAAATTTAGTCCAAAGGCCCCTCAAAACAAATAGAAATGAAGAGACTCCACTCAAATAAAGGCAAATCACCTTTTGTATATTTTGAATTCAATCTGTAATGAAGCAAGAAACCCATATCTGATATTCTCACTGACAATATTTATTACTTGGGAGATAGATTTGGGAAAGGCATATGTTAAAGCAGAAAAGCTATATAAAGCCAGACTACTGTTTAGAAAAATTACTCATGAACTAACAGTCAAGACAAAGTATTTTATAAAGACAATTCAATAATGTTCTTTTTCCCATTTTTAATTCAGGTTTGCAAGGCTTTGTCATATCGATTCAGGATCCTCTGGAGATATCCTGATAGTTATATGCTAGAGAATTTCACCTTTAGTACTTACCTAACTAATCAATTTATTTCCATGTCAAGCGGATAACAGCAAAAGCTTGACGGGAAATTTGGTAATCCTCCCTGAAGTTCAATAAACTGCCTAATAATTATCCTGATGTTGAAGAAGGTGGCTGATGCAGACCAAATACCAAAAATATTTTCAAATTAGAAATCTATGTGTTGAGACAGTAACATGATTTTGGAGTAAATAAGATATAATTTCATGCCAAACTCAAAAAAAAAAAAAAAAAAGTACTTAAAGAATTTTTGAAGGGACAGGAGTTTACAGAAAAGAGAATGTTTAACAAAGAAGAGAATTTGTGCTAAGATGTGCTAATACAGGGTAAGGGAAAAAAAAGAGCAATAGTACTGTATTTTATTGTTACTCTCCAAACACTGTACTATAGGTTTTTCCATTGTCATACAGCACAGTATTTTTTGGAATAAAAACACTTTACAAATGAGTAAAAGAATGAAAGGTGTTTAAGGTGTTTGGGCTGATATTTAAGAAGGACTGAAATAAATAATAACAAGAAGGAACATAAGAGTAAGTTTTCTTCTTTTTTTTTTTTTTTGTTTTGTTTTGTTTTGTTTTGTGAAGAATCACATAAGGAGGCTATTTGTTTCCTGTTTTGATAACTGCAATACTGCATCCCACCTACCTGTGGGTCTGGCTGTTATCTTGCTTGCAATGAAGAACCCAAGCAGCCTAGCCACCACAATACTGAGTTGTGTGGGTGCTTATTTGCTCTGAAGGGTTGTATGGAATTAGTTTAATATAATACTGTTTTCTACTAACATGAGAGAGAGAAAGAATTAGATTTTGTAGAGCTTTAAGCTTACTACAAGAAAAAAAATTAGGAAACTGTAGGATTCATCACCACATTCTGCATAGTCCTAGCCTCTAATTATCACTGCCTGATAACCGAAATAAGAGTTACAAACTGCAAAACTGGAAGGCACACTTTTAGGAAGACAAAAATGTTTCTACTTAAACACTAAACTAACACTAATAACTGGCAGCTAAGAAGCCATCTCACTGTAAATACCCTGGGGCAATCTTCTCATCCCATAACCTTAGGCACTTAAATTAAGCAACCAAGTTAAAAACGCCAATCTGTCTAGGAATTCTGTGGAGTCAATGAAGGAAACTAAGATTTTTACCAAAGTCAAAATACCTAAACTGTGTGTCCAGAAATTCATTCCTG